TATTAAAATAAAATCTTATATGGATCCTTTAACGTTGTGACGACCTGATAGATCGTTTTTGAGTTCTAGCTTTCCTTTTATGATTTGAGATCTCTCGTAACTCTATATGATGATTTATGACTTGCGTGTGTGGTTCTTGTCGATTTTCGAAAAGTCTAAATGTGAATTTTTTTTAAAATATATAATTTTTGACTTAGAAAGTGGCTAGAGTTGATCACGATCAATATTTTTGGTAAACAGCCTCGGATCTGTCTTTGACGATTCCGGTAGGTTCGAATGATGATTTTGTACTTATACGCATATTTGGTTAGGGTCCCGGGTGACCAGAGGTCGTCTTGGCGCTTTATGTAGAAAGATAAAATTTTAAGTTTGAACTTTGAAACATCTTGAGTTTTGGTGATCGATTCTTGATTCTAGATGTTATTGTGATGATTTGTGCCTAAGAGCGAGCTCTTTTGAGATTAATATACTTGTGTGAATATTCGGATTGGAGCCCGAGGGGCTCAGGTGAGTTTCGGATAGGTTGCAGACTGTTTTGGAATAGCTGTAGAGGTGCTGGTGTTGTTGGGCTGCTTTATGTGGAAAGTAAGAAAATTGAGTTTAACTTTGAAAAATCTTGAATTTTAATGATCGATTCTTGATTTTGATGTTATTTTGATGATTAGTGCATGCGAGCGAGTTTGTATGATGTTGTTACACTTGTGTGGGTGTTCGAATTAGAGTCCGATGGACTCGAGAGAGTTCCGAATAGGTTGCAGACTGATTTTGGCTTAACATGTATTTGCTGGTGTAACTGGATTGCAGGTCTCGCATTTGCGAAGTGCTAGCTCACACTCGCGAACTGGGATGGGATTGGGTAGCTTCTCATCTGCGAAGCTTTACTCGTATTTGCGATGAAGACTGGCTTTACATTTGTGATTAATGTGTCGCATTTGTGACACTGAGGAGTCTGAGGGCAGCGTTGCAATTTACGATTATAAACTCTCTTTTTTTATTCTTTGTGTCTCTTTAGTTTAGGTTATAACGTTGAAGATGTTATTTACTTTCTTAATTCAGTTTATTTTATAACTACCTTACTACTGCTTTTTGTTTGCAAGTACTGACTTTATTAAAGTTCAGCAAATTTTTAAATAGACTAAGCTAACGTGTGGATATAGATTTGGTTGAGACTTGAAAAATAAGTTTTTAAAGTTGTGTTGAAAAATAATTTTCGAAAACGAAAACGTTTTTCAATTTTTTTAAAAAAAACTGATCATATTCCATGAACAAACATTATTTTTAAAAGTTTTAAAAAAACAAATTAGCCAAAATTTATGGGTGCTAAATAGATTTTTGGTTAAAGTAAAATTTGTTGAAGTTTGATATTGTTAAATTTCTTAAAGTAAACAGAAATTTTATTATAGAAATACCATGTTAACGGAAACAGATTTTTTGGTTAATTTTTTCCGTCCAACTGTATTAAAAGAATTTTGGCCCCAAAATATTACTCCCTCCGGTTCACAATAACTGACATTTTGACCTTTGTCACACCCCATAAAAAAATACTAACTCCTAGAAAAAAAATAAGTATTTTGACTAAATTATTCTTAATTTTAATTTGTATATTGTTAACTTGACTGTGATGACCCGATAGGTCAATTTTATTTTTAACCTTCATTTCTGTGTTCTGAGACCTCGAATAGCTCCGTTTAGCCTTCTTCGATTTACATGAGCAGTCTATGTCTTTTTTCGGGAAATTTTTATGTGAAAAATTGATGAAAATGTAAAATTTTGCCTTAAAATTCATTTGAGTTGACTACGGTCAACGTTTTAAGTAAACAGATCCGGATTAGTATTTTGACGGTCCCGATGGATCCGTATCGTAATTTGGGACTTGGGCGTATGCCCGGCATCGAATTCAGAAGTCCCTAACTTGATTTAACGTAATTTGTTGAAAACTAGCAATTTAAAGGTTTAAAGAATTCCTAAGTTTGACCATAAGTTAACTTTATTGCTACCGTATTCAGATTTTAATTCCGGAATTGGTATAGGTTCATTTCAGTATTTATGACTTGTCTCCAAAATTTGGTACAAAACGGAGTTGATTTGACGTGATTCGGATGTCCGGTTGTAAAATTTTATGTTCTTGAGTTTCTTTGAAAATTTCAATTGTTTTGGTATCTGATTCGTGGTTCTAGGTGTTATTTTGATATTTTGATCACGCGAGCGAGTTCGTATAATGTTATTACACTTGTGTGCATGTTTGGTTTGGAGGCCGAGGGGCTCGGGTGAGTTTCGGATAGGCTACAGACCATTTGAACTTAAAAGAATATGTTGGTTTTGGGCTACTACTGATATCTGGTGTGTTCTTCTTCGCGATCGCGAAGATACTCCCTCGATCGCGAAGAATAATCTAGGCTGGGGAGGTTTTTCGTCTATGCGAACGTGAGGTTGTGTGCGCGAACGCGAAGCTATGGAGGGATCACCCTTCGCGAACGCGACCAGCACTACGCGAACGCGAAGAGTAAGGGGCCTATGAGGGGGATCTGGGGTTTGTTCTACGCGAACGGCTCACGAACGCGATGGCCAGGGGGACTGACCATCACGAACGCGTGCATCCTCTCACGAACGCGTAGGCCTTTGGCTGCTGCTGCTTCGTGATCGCGTCAGGTGTCTCGCGAACGCGATGAACACCTGACGCCCAGACATTAAAATATCCCAAACACGGGATTTCACCCATTTTTCACCATATTCTCATTAGAGCTCAGTCTAGAGGCGATTTGAAGAGAAATTTCATCACCATTTCATAGGTTAGTATACTTTAACTCGTTTTCTTCCATTTCCATCAACACCCATTAATTTCTAACCTTCTATGTTCTTTCATGGTAGAAAATTAGGGATTTGGGAAGAATTGGGGTTTTTGTAAAATTGAGATTTAGATCTCAAATTGAGGTCGGATTTCGAAACTAATCACATAATCGGGCTCGAAGGTGAATGGGTAATTGGGTTTTGGTCTGAATCTTGGGTTTTGACCAAGCAGGCCCGGGCTTGACTTTTGTTGACTTTTTAGATAAAGTATAAAGATCTTAACTTTATGTATTGTAATTGATTTTTCTATCATTGTTTGATGTTATTGAGTCAATTTTGGTTAGACTCGATTGGTTTGGAGGCGGATTTTAGAGGAAAGGCCCCGGTTGAGCTTTGATTTGCTTGCGGAGCGAGGTAAATGTTGGGACTAACCTTGATTTGAGGGAATAGGAACCCTTGAACTATGTGTTATGTGAATTACATGTGTAGCGGCGTATATGCAAAATGGCGAGTGTATATATGCCGTCAAAATAATTGTTTACATGCTTTCCCGTATTCCATTAATTATTTTATTCCATGTCTTAAGTGTTACATGCTTTAATTGCTTTCAATGCTTTAACTTGCTACTTGTCACTTATTATTCTCGTATTAAAATGTTAGTTTCTCCTATGCTCCCATAATTAGTTGCTACTTGCCTTAATTGTCTTACTTGTACACTTTAACTGTCATATATTTGGCTTGGCTTGTTGCTTTGTATTAATTGTAGCATTCTTTAATTTGGTATGGGGTTCCTTATTGCTTTGCTTTCATATTCTTTAGTCGTAGAAATTCTTCTGAATTGAGTTGTTGAATTGATTACACTTATTGATTTTGTTGTGGATCGGGTTGCACGCCGTAACAGGTGAAATAAAGGAGGATTGATATTGATATGGTGGGATCGGGTTGCACGCCGCAACGGATTTTCAAATGTTATTTTGATATGTTGAACTAAGGGAGGATTATGATATTGATTCTGATTATATGCTGGGATCGGGTTATGTGTCGCAACGGATTTTACATGTTATTCTTGATATTTATATGGTGAAATAAGGGAGGATTGTGTTTATACGGTGGGATCAGGTTGCGCGCGATTGTGTGTTATGTATTCATTGTTGCATTGTGTTAGCGTTCAGTATTTTCATTCGAGATTCTGAGGACTTATGTTTTTGGTTTTATTGATTTTGAGGATTGAGTTTATTTTCATAAGTTAACTACCTTACTTTTCATGTGTACCTTTCCTGCTATTATTATTATACTGCGTACATGTTATTGTAAGTGACCCGACTTAGCCTCGTCACTACTTCGTCGAGGTTAGGTTTGGCACTTACAGAGTACATGGGGTCGGTTGTACTCATACTATACTCTGCACTTCTTGTGCAGATTTTGTAGTCGGTCTTAGCGGCGGTCAGTAGATTGCTCGGATTGATTGCTTGACGGAGACTTGAGGTACAGGTGTTCGGCATTCGCAGCCCTAAAGTCCCCTTCTACCTTATTCTAGTTGTTTATTTCATTTCAGACAGTTATACTTTCATTTAGATAATTATTTGTATTATTCTAGTCGTTCGTGCACTTGTGACACCAGTTCTAGGATTGTATCTAGATATCGTTGTTGTTATGGTTTCTTACTCTATTTCAGTTTATTCGGTTTCTTGGTTGTTATTTAATTTGAATTGTTAAAAATGGTTAAAACTATTCTAACGTTGGCTTGCCTAGCAAGTGAAATGTTAGGCGTCATCACGGTCCCGAGGGTGGGAATTCCAGATCGTGACATTGACACATTGGGATATGTAAATAAGGACAAATTTAAAACACTAAAGTTAATTCATTCTCGAATATGTAAAAATGACACTTATTTTGAACCAAAATAAAAAGGCAGAAAGATCACTTATTATGGACCAAAGGGAATATTATATCAAGGGTTTTGTTGTATGAAAGCCTATCTTATTTAGCGAAAATTTTGGGCCCGCCACTATTGTCAACCCTCTTGAGCTGTGTTTCTTGGCTTACAATGTTAGTTATGCTTAATTTGTTATTCACTGTACCAAAATGTGATACAGTAACACTGGATTTGTGATCCAAAATCAAAACGATTTCCACTTTACTAAAGACTGGCTCAAACCTTTTATGTGTTAAAAATTATACTAAATAAGTACCAAAATAGACGTTGGAAGACATAAAGTTCAAATCCTGGATCTGTCTTTGTTGTATAATAACCTAAATGGATAAAAATCATCCATCTCCCCTATCAAATCACTAATACAAAAAAGAGATTTGATATTGCAACGAAAATTAAGCTAATATCTAAAACTGAGGTAGCACTGGGAGAGTGATCCTCTGTTGGTGCATCAGCAGCAATAGGAGTGTCTGCAGTTGGTGCATCAGGCTTAGGTGGGGAACCAGGCGCGTGTGAAGTCGGTGAAGGGGAAGGCTCTGCAGGGGTATCTGCAGCCGGTGGTTCTGGCTCAGGTGGTGAGCCAGAGCCGGGGGCTGCAGAAGGTGAGGGTGTAGGGGTAGAAGTTTTATTGGGCAAAGGAGCAGAGCCCGGTGATGGCCCGGAGGAATTATCACTTGTGCTAGGTGAAGGAGCACGATTAGGCGATGAAGACGGGGAATTAGTAGATGAATCAATCCCCAATGGAATAATAACATTGCTAATTTGCAGGATTGAAATGTTATAAGGTTGTGATGCAATGGACTTGACCAAATTTGATCCAAGTGTTGAACCTTTTGCAGCTGAGCCTAATGCAACACTACCACTACCCAAATCTGTCACATTCAAATATCCTTGATCACTATTAGCCTGGCCAGTGGTTTGAAACAGAGTCGGAGCCTTCATGGTTTTATTAGGTAATTTTTGGAGCTTTTGCACATCATAATAGTCGAGCAAGACGTGCACGCGCATGATGTTGGCGAGCACGTCTTGTGACTTCCCCGAGAGGGGTGACAAGTTGCTGTTTTCGACTACTAGGACAGTGATCGTTTGCCGGGAGTTGATTGCGGAAGCAACTCCGGTTTGTGTTAGGTAATTGTTGAAATTGCTGAAAGATGAGTATTGATTAAGAAGATTGGTAATGTTGAATGCCTTGGCATGGCATAAAATATTGAGGAAGAAAAAGAATAGTAGAGAAGTGTTAAAATTATTCATTTGGATATAAAATAGTGTTTGATGGTAGTTCCAAAGTGTTGTGTTGATGATTTTTTATATTGAAATGAGAGGACTTGGTTTTTGTGGGGAGAATTCAATTGCGCCTCTTTTAGAGGGAATTGGTTTTGTTTAGGAGTGGATAGGAGAATGTGGTGGAAGAGCTTATTCATTGTTTTTGTGCCATTTGCCATACTTACAGCACCCTTGTCTTAATGTTCTAAGATAAGACTAAAGAAGATCCTTATAAAAGCAACAAGGTCTCTTGTGTGATTTTACTTTTGACCTTAACTAGGAAAATTACGTTCAAATCAAAGAAAAAGTCCTATTGAAAAAGTCGTTTTAGGTTAACTTACGGAGCGTTTAAGTTCTGTGCATTGTTAGTGTAGATCTCTATTATAAGTATTAGCTGGTTACTTCATAAAAATAGTAGGAGAATTAACATTTTATGAACTTATTATAGGTTAAAACAACATTGTTTGTGTTAAAAGTTTTTTGCACTATCATTTGTATATATCTTAAATCCTACAAATAAACGTAGTTATTCTACTGAAATAATTGAGTCTTATTTTGGAAATCACTGGAACTTATAAGTTATAAGCATTTGTTTCCACTTTCCACAAAGAGAAACATACATATTCATTTGCTTGACATTAACAGTGAACTTTTGCGAAAATTACAATGATAGTTTATTATCTTTATTCAGCTACATCTTTTGTTTGAATTTACAATAGATTCTACATGTCAGAAAGCAATGACTTGTGGAAGAATGTTTGGAAGTCTTTCAATTTCTACGGACTTTGATACAACTCCAAACCTTTCATTGTAAAAGAACGCATTTCAAATCAAAAACTAAACCAATTTGTATAATTTTGGTTTTACTTTTTCTTCACATTTTGTATATTGTAAATTTAGTCCTTGAAGACTAAGAAATCAAAGTTTGTTAGTGCATGTTAAATTGACATCCCTATTTATTCCCACTGACTTGTAGTCCAAGGGTGCATCTTGTCCCTATCAAAATAACAAGGGACTAAGGCCGTCTTGTTGAGAAAAACCAAAGGCTAAATATTGTAGCAGAGGAACATCTACTTAACCAAGTTGTAAAGAAATACTTCACAAGTTGTAAGATATTACATGACTTCTGGAGACCTCTATCAAACAAAAAAGACAGTTTTTGATCTGAACTACCACTGGAAAATTTTACCAAAAATATTATAATAATCTTATGTTCAAAAATTGGCGGACAAATTAAGATGACTTCTATAGGAAAACAAGTACTTGGATATTCAAATTCAAGTGTAATGATCTTCTACAGCATTCTTGTTAACAACCAGTAAGGGCAGTGGAACTGGAGAATCTGGGTCTCATCAGTCGATCTTCACAGACGAGTAAATAAGTCTTGTGAACCAGAAGCATGCATAGAAACCGATGGTACCGGTCAGAACGAAAAATGCATATGAAGCAATCAACATGTAACCAAAGTACAAGATCCCAGAAACAGGCTTAGTGATATCAAGCTTAGTGAAGAAGTAGAAGGTAGCATAAAGGAAGAGGTAAAGTGCGGACGAGCCTGATGTCAGGTAGGATCTCCACCACCACAAGTAGTCCTCACTGCATAACTGAAAATAGCATAGGACGACGGTTATCTCGGCACAGGTGACTATCAGAATGACAAACACGATGAAGAGGAAGCCGAAGAGGTAGTAAAATTGGTTCAGCCAGATTGAGGTAAGAATGAAAAAGAGCTCAATGAAAACAGCTCCAAATGGAAGTATGCCTCCGATTAGGACAGAGAAGATGGGGTTCATGTACCAAGCCTGCTCCGGGATCTGCCTGGGTATTTTATTCGTCTTCACAGGATCCTCAATGGCTGGCTTTCTAAAACCAACATAACTGCCCACAAAGACGAGAGGGACTGAAATTCCAAACCATAAGAACACCAAAGCAAACATTGTTCCAAATGGCACAGCCCCAGATGATTTTTGACCCCAGATGAGTGCATTCAAGACGAAGAAGATGGCAAAGACAGTAGCTGGAAACAGAAATGCTGTCCTGAGTGCAATTCTCTTCCATTCTGTACCTTTAAACAACTTATAGAGACGGGAAGCAGAGTAGCCCGCAAAGAGTCCCATGAAAACCCAGAGCAAGAGCATAGCAGTCATTAGCCCACCCCGATTCGAAGGGGAGAGGAACCCAAGGACAGCAAACATCATGGTCACCACCATCATACCGAAAAACTGTACACCAGTTCCAACATAGACACAAAGCAAATCTGTGTTACTTGGAGGCCTGAAAACATCTGCATGGACTAGTTTCCATCCGGTTTCTTCTTGTGCCTCCTCCTGGGTCTCCAGTTCATTGTACTTGGAAATGTCGCGATAAAGTGTTCTCAGCATTATCATCGCCACCATGCCTGATAGGAACAGCACAATCATTAAAGAATTTACTATCGAGAACCAGTGGATCTGATCATCAGCCATCAGAAGATAGGCATCCCATCTCGACGCCCACTTGACATCACTCTCCTGCGATACAAACCAAAGAATCATATAAAATTAGTTTTATATAATACCAAACTCCTATAGTAAATCTCAAAAGGTTGAACTCAGAAGTCATAACATATAAAGTTATAAAAAGGACTAGCAATGATCAAATTGAGTGGCCATATCTAACAAGATTCAAAAAGTAGGTTACCTGGAATTCAACATCATATGTAAATATGATTTCTTGGTTAGTCTCAACCTCTTGAGGAGAATTCGAATTAGATACAGTCCGCTTTGCATGTGGATCACATGTTGTTAAACGAGTATTCTCACTCCATTTTCCATCATATTCATGCTTAACACTGGAAATATAATGAGCCATGTTAGTTCTTATGCACCAATAGATTAAAGAACAAAAGCAAACAAAATCATACACATTTTGCTATGCCTCAGCCAGTGAGTGACTGAGTGCTGATGGAGATATGGGTAACCTTGAAAACAAACCTGAATGGCATGACTTCAAATCCCACAATTCTGGCTGAATCTGTCTGCAAATCTTTATGGTACTTAACAGTGAATGTCAAGTGGTTATGGATGAAATGCTTCTCATCCTTGCTCTACAGGCAGTCACACACAATAAATGAGTACATGAATACAAATTTTAGCACTTCTACATAGAACATCAGTTCTCTAGTGTTATGGAAAATATCCTTACCCCAGCATATTGTCCTTTTACACCAATATAAACTCCCTGTTGATAGGCAGGAGGGGCTTCTTGCTCTAACCTCCGAACTGGAACAACTAAAGGCAGATTATCTAGGATCCTAACACATGAATCCAGAATATTGTTAGGAAGAGTAGTTAGAAGAGTACAATCCAAAAGTTAGGAAAATGACTGTTTCCTCAAGCAAATAATTGACCTACATGTTGACACGATATTCATCTTCAATTTTTTCTTTAAATTCCTTAGCAGTCTTGTTATCAAGTACAAGCCTACAAACAACATGGCACATCTCTGGTTCCCTCATTTTGAACTGCAATAGGAACATACAGCTAAAAGAAGTCAGTTGCCATAAGATTTTTAAAAAAATTAAAAAAAATCAAGTGGTAAAGTAGATTTGCTGACCGAATAAGGGGAGTTCTCAATTCGATCACCACGAAGCACTTCTCCAAGATTTTCTCTGCTATCCACTATATTTTCTGGACGACAGAAAGGAACAGAGTAGAACGAGTAAGGAAGCTGAGTCTTTGTAGAAGTCAGCTTGTTCACTTTCACAGACAGAGGATCTCCCTGCAACAAACATCATCACCATCCAGAGTCAGAAAAATCTATGTATTCCTTTCTTTTGGGGTAAAGTACAATCTCCCTACGATTATTTAAAAAAAAACTCATAACCCCCCACCACCCTGTGCAACAACTTGTTAAAGATCTTTCCTACAAAACAAAATCCATATACAATCCCAGCTCGCGTTACCTGCCGATGAACCAAAGAGGTATGTTTAATTTACTTTTGGGCGTAATTTGACCCAGATTTTGTGAGGTGACCACAAGTCTATATGATCTGCTTATATACTAAAACACATTCTTCCAAGGGAATTAAATTGGCACTTTTCACCATACAAACCATTCCATAATAAACACGCATGCTAGAAAACACACTTCTACAGAAGTTCCTGTTCATAATACAATATATAATGGAACTTATTTTGAAGCTCATCAATATCAATTTGGACAACTGAAAGGAAGTAAAAAAGGGAAGCATCTAGTCAGAATCATGAGAGGGGTCTCCCAAAATAACCTGACTATACAGATCACGTAGACCAAAATTTACTAGCTGCCTTCATGACATAAAGCCTGCCAACTGATTGAGCAATATTGACTTGTGTTTCAGGGGACATTGTCAGATTGCATATGTTGCCGGAGTGAAAGTCGTTAAGGGCGTCGCAAAGTAAAAGAAATATGGCATTGTACAATAACGCTGGAGGGAAACTTTTAATTGACTTTCAACAGAACAAACCCTTTTTCTTGCTATTTAATCAAGTAATAATTCAGCATCCTATAAAGTAAATACACATACATACATATTTGTATACAAATAATATATACAAATAGCACACAAGACCATGAGTGTAGTCTAGCATAGAATGAAGCTAGAGCGGACCACGGGAGAACAGGGTTCCCAGTAGAGGCAAAGACAGAGTTATCCGATACTTCTCATGTGGTAAGCAAAGGTATCATGTGGATTAGGTGAGATGCGAACAAGTAATCCCTGACACAAATGTTATCGGGAAAAACATACATACATGTTCACCATAGTCCATACCCACATACATTTTACTGTATGCTTCCCTGCAAAAATACAAGTGTCCTACCATAAGCTTCCTTTTTTCTTAACCAAAAAATTGCACGTTTTACCAATTCTGCTGCATCATTGCTTTTAAGCAGCATTGGCACAACTACGCCTCAATGCCATTTGTACTCATTCTCAGCTTCCTCGCAATAGTTTTTAAATATTCATGCTGTTGGTGAATTCAGATGGTTTTGAATTCAACGATC